AAAATATTTCGCCAAATTTTCCATTTTGAGTCCGCCAGTTAAACTTATCAACAGTTGGCGAAATTTTGTTTCAAATACGTTGTTTTGTTCGGAAAATTGAAAATCGAAAATACTTTTGTTAAGTTTTTTTTTTAATTACTAATTTTATGTATAATTTTTTTGCGAAGCAACCCGCGGTGATTCCAGGCCACACAGGTTACTTAAATTAGTTAAGATTTTTTAAAATGTTCTTTATTTAGGTATATTTTTTTGCGAATCAGCCTTTGATGATTCAAGGAAGCATAGATTAGATAAATTAGTCAAGATTTTTTAAATTTTTCTAATTTTTTTGTATATTTTTCGCGAAGCAACCCATATATTAAATATGTAAATGGGTTAAATCCTTAGATTACAGAAATCTATAACCTAAGGGTTAATCGTTATTTTATCATCTTCTTGTAGATTACTGATGCAATGGAAAAACCAAAATGATAACAAGGGGGTGGGATTATAAGATGGTTACCTAAGATTTGGTATAAAGATAAGATAGGCAGTTGCAGTTAGTATCTTGATCCCAATATTACCTACCCTGTTTGATTAGCCTTCTATATTATCTATTAAGAAGTTGTGGTTATGTTCGGTTAATAGTTACTGTAGTATTGAAAAATGTAGTGTGGTTCAAGTTCAAAGTTTACACCTCTAAAACGTATAAAAAAGTGTGCGTTTTCAGTGAACGAGAAAATATTTGTAAGCAATGTTTATAATTGCCTAAGAATGGAAAATCCTTCGTTTTCTGTTGACGATACTGTTGAAAAGACAAGTAATATGATTGGTGTAAGCAAATCAACGATATATAAAGTTATAAATGAATTAAAAAGTGGAGTTGTTAAACCCCCAAAGAAATATGCAGGAGTTAAGAAAAAGTGGAATTTACTGAACAAATTAAAAGCAGAATAAGAAGAAAAGTTTACGAATTTTATTTTAAAAAGAGGTACCAACAGTTACAAGATTTTGTACTCAATCAATAGTGATCCGTATTTTATAAAAATGGGAAGGCCAAAACAAGGGGAAACTCTAATAGATTTGAAGTTCAAGTGGGAAAACAGGACAGGAAAGCAGCACTTATTATTTCTGAGAAAATTGTTTGTTGGAGACAGAAATACCTCAGAACCATTTTTAAATTACGTGCAGAAGGCAAAAAATATTTTATTTGGATGAAACCTGGGTGACTGAAGGTTTCACCGTTAGCAAAATGTGGCAGGACACAAACATTCAATATTCACAATAGGCTATTTTGGAAGGATTATCTAAAGGATTGAAGGTTCCTTCCGGTAAAGGACGACTTCTAATT